TGAGTACATTCTATATGAATGTAAATGACTACCTAGGAATAGGCAATTAAAATTAAAAAAAAAATGGAGAGGTAAGAAATCCAGTGGAAAAGGAAAGGGAATGAAGAGCTTGACAGGCCTGGGTGCACCACCTAGATCTCCCTTTCAAGTGCCTGCCAGAGGGCATAGTGGCAGCCACCTCTCTGCCACAGCTCGGGTTCAGTGATAGAATTTGCACTGCGGACACCTTTGGCTGCTCCCTGTCAGACACTGAGCACAGCAGAGGCGCCAGGGTTGGGTTATTTCTGCCTCATGCTGGTCTCCTTTAACAGACAGCCCTGGATCCAGGATCTCCCATTGACCTGGTTGAGGATTTTTTCAGAAAAGCATTGACATATGAAGCTCCTTCTATTCAATCCTTTCACTTTTTTTTTCTCCTTTCACAGATGTCAGACCTGATCATACTCTAAAGCAGCGGCTCTCATCCTGTGGGTCGCGACCCTTTTGGGGGTCGAATGACCCTTTCACAGGGGTCACCTAAGACCATCGGAAAACACATATTGAATATATAATTACATATTGTTTTTGTGATTAATCACTATGCTTTAATTATGTTCAATTTGTAACAATGAAAATACATCCTGCATATCAGATATTTACATTATGATTCATAACAGTAGCAAAATTACAGTTATGAAGTAGCAACGAAAGTAATTTTATGGTTGGGGGTCACCACAACATGAGGAACTGTATTAAAGGGTAGCAGCATTAAGAAGGTTGAGAACCACTGTTCTAAAGGCTCTCCTACCCTTTTCATGCTCCTTCCTTCTTTATTCTTTGCAGGCATTTCCTCCAATAACTCTCATGTGCAACTAATATTTCTTGAAAAATTATCTGAAAACCTAAGGAGATATAATTTTTAAGTAAAAGTATGCATTATTCATTCATTGAGTCCTCTCAAAGAAATGCTTCCAATATGGATGGTTAGATTTGTAGTTTTCTACCATCAGCCTATAAGGCTATTGATTTAAGCAAATAGGACCACCTGAAGAATCAGTGTCTTGATTGGATATCTGCTGTACATTTTCACAACCAGTTTAAGTTTTAGAACAAAAAAAGCAATCTTCAAGCATGGCCCAAAGCAAGAACTGACAACGCTAAATGCTGACAAGGATGTAGAGCCACAGGAACTCTGAGTCATTGCTGGTGGGGATGCAAATTGATACAGCTTCTTTGGCGGTTTCTTATAAAACCAAACATACGTTTACCATACAATCCAGCAATCATAATTCCTTTGGTATTCATACGAAAGAGCTGAGCATTCATGTTGACAAAAGCCTGTACATGGATGTTTACTGCAGTTTTATTCATAATTTCCAAAACATGGTGCCCTACAATAGATAATTGGATAAATAAACTGTGGTACATCCAGACAATGGGATATTATTCAGCACTACGATAAATGAACTATCAAGCCATGTAAAGACAAGGATACACCTAAACACAAATTACCAAGTGAAAAAAAACCCTATAAAATCTAGCATACAGTATGACTCCAACCATGTGGCATTCTGGAAAAGGCAATACTATAAAGACAGTAGAAAGATAAGTGTTTGTCAGGGGTCAGGAAGGAGAGAGGAATAAATAGGTGGAGCACGGAGAATTTTAGGGGCACCTTGAAAGGAACTGTGGGCTGCGAGGCTGTGGTGGGCACTGGGGTGGGTCTTGGCCCATCCTCCATGCCCCCGCCCGGCCCCTCCTGCTTTGGCCACCAGTCCCCTCACTGCCTGCAGCCCCGCTCCTGCGCCACTGCGCCCATGCACTGACGGGACACTGACTGCACTGGCCCCGCTCACACCTGCAGAGCGATTGGACCAGTGCTGCTAGGCGCTGGCCCCGGGTGCGAGTGGTGGCTCCAGCACCTGCAGCAGGTGTGAATGTGGGGTGGGACCGTGGCACGTGGGAGCAGAGAGTTTTCAGTAACCACCAGAGGCTCACCCTGATGACAGCAACCCCTGCCCCATCTTGGTCTTGCACCTCCATTCACCTGCTCCACCATTCCACTGCCCACTGCAGCCAATGCCCGCCATGTTCCGTGGGTGCTCCCTGGTGGTCAGCGCACATCATAGCGACCAGTTGTTCGGTTGTTCTCCCATTCGGTATATTTGCTTATTAGGGATATATATATATGATTTGTCCAAACTCATAGCATGCACAACACCAAGAACGAATCGCAATGTAAACTATAGACTTTAATGAGTATGGTGTGTCAATCTAGATTCATCAATTATAACAAATGTACTGCTCTGAAGAGGATGTTGATAGTATGGGAGGTTATACATGTGTATAGGCAGGAATTCTCCTACCTTTTACTCTAAAACTGCTTTTAAAAATTAAGTATGTTCCCCAGCTGGTGTGGCTCAGTTGGTTGAGTATCTCTCCATGCACCAAGAGCTCGCTGGTACAATTCCTGGTCAGGGCACAAGTCTGGATTTCAGGTTTGATCCTCAGTAGGGGACATGCAAGAGGCAGCCAATTGATACTTTTCTCTGATTGATGTTTCTATCTTCCTCTCCCTCTCCCTTTCTCTCTCTCTAAAAAAAAAAAAATCAATAAATAAAGTTGTGTTTGTTAAAAGTGGGAAGGAAAAAAGTCAGTCCTCGCAGCACAAAAGAGCTATCAGGTTGTAAGAACTCACATTTGAACTCCATGTGCTTTGGAGATCCAGTTTATCCCACTGTGATTTAGTTTCCTTACCTTGAAAATCAGATATAATGGCCTTTCTATTGCAAAGATGTTATAAATATGAAATTATATGACTTAATGTGTTTGGAAATACCTAATTAAAAGTCAATAGATGATAGTTTCCTACCAGTTAAACACATGATTGTCTAATCTTATCTACAGAAAATCTATAGGTCATTATATAAAGAATTAAAGGAGGCAGGAGGAAAAATCACATAATAAAATAAAGTATTTGATCATATAAAAAAGAAAAGATTAGTTCTGTGTTATCATAACCCATATTTTCCTCCCTTATTACTCAATCCCAAAGGATCTAGCTGCAAATGTGAATATATCGTGTTTTTTTTCCAATTTTCAGACTTGGAGAGAGGAGGGACTACTAAAGAGAAAAACATTCTTTGTGAAGCCAAACTATAAACAAAAAAAGAAAAGCTATACGTTCTCCTAACCCTCCTACAGAATTATCACATTTTCTTAAGTTAATGAAACCCCTAACTCTGTGAGAAAATAAGTGTCAATGACCCATTATAACATCCTGGGCTTAAATATTTTAAAAGGCAATGTCCCATGGAGTAGAACCACAGTGAAATGTGGAGACCTCGTAGAGAAGACTGGAAGTCCTTTAGGCTGGGACAGGGGTGGGCAAGCTTTTTGACTCAAGGGCCACAATGGGTTCTTAAACTGGACTGGAGGGCCGGAACAAAAGCATGGATGGAGTGTTTGTGTGAACTAATATAAATTCAAAGTAAACATCATTACATAAAAGGGTATGGTCTTTTTTTTTTTTTAGTTTTATTCATTTCAAATGGGCCAGATCCAGCCCACGGGCTGTAGTTTGCCCACGGCTGGGCTGGGACATAGGGAAGAAAATTAGAAAGAAGGTCAAACCTTTTAGAGCAGAAAATATCTGAAGGTAGGAAACTGAAGACTTTCGGGGCAATGGTACTAAGCTGTGTAGGGCATCAACTTTTGCCTCCAGCTGAGGATTTCATATCCCAGTTGCTGGGAGTGGTGGTGGCCCATAGCTCTCAGCTAAGACACATTGCTTGCACCTAGCAGAAGAGAGACACCTTATCCAAGATCAAGCTTTCTCACTAAGGGTCAGTACAGGGTATCAAATGCCTGGCTGAGTTGACTTTCCCTGGGAGAAATCTGCAGGGCTAACCCAGTTTCAGAGCACTGAATAGGAATTGCTGAGGCCTCGGTCACATCTACATTGCAGTTCAACTTCTCCTTCTGCCCATTCCTGCTGCTAGTACTCCCATAGAGGTATTGATCTCAAGAGTGTTCCCCAGTAAACTTGCTGCATTTCAGTCTTTCTTAGTCTCTGCTTCCAGGGAACCTAACCTGAGACATCAGCCCTGTCAAAAAGCATCAAAAGAAGGAATGAATGGATTCTGTTAAGTGTCACAGAGAACAGTTTGATCAGATTTACTGTGGCAGAAGGTAGCAGCCTTCATGTATTAGGATTTGAGCACCTATAAGTATACATACTTCAATTTGAAGCTGAAATTGGGTCCTAGACAAAAAAATATATATATTTTCCTTCAGATCAGTGTGCCTGACTAAAGAACTTACCCTGGTCTTGTAAATGAATATAAACAGTATAACTTAATTAAGAAATAACCAGATAAATAAATGGAAAACCTTCAAAAACATATTTAAGAAGGGGGTGAGTCCTAGGACTTGGCATGAAAGGCAGACTCAGTGCTAATTGGCCAGTAATAACTGGGCAAAATTACTGGATAAGCAGTGGCTTCCAATTATCCAGAATAATTTTTCTAAGTGTACACATTACTTAGAAACCACTCCATTTACTGGGCCGCAGATGCAGCATTTATGTTCTCCCTTCTGTATGTTATGTTATCTTAAAATTATAGCTAATCTTTTAGCTGTTGTTTCTCCCTTCTCCTTTATTAAAAACAATTATAACAACACTTAACCTTAATTGCTCTAAGGCAATTTCTGCTGATAATATATGTTTATTTTTTCCCTTTGGTTTACATAGAGCATGCTTAAAATACAAATGTAGAACACCTCTTCAGATTTTGTCATTTATTTTTGTCTCGCTTCTATTCTTTGTTTTTCTTACTTTAAAAAAAAATACATATCCTATATAATAAAAGTCTAATAAGCAAATTGTCCCCTCCACTAGGAGTTCTGCTGGGAGTTCGACCGCTAGCTATTACATGCACTGGCCACCAGGGGGTGGCGCAGAACATGGCAGGTGTTGGCGACATGGCACTGGCAGCAGGTGGCAGTGGAGGCACTGCAGGCCCTGATGGGCCCCAATGAGAATGGGATCACAGCAGGATGGTGGAGCAGGTGAGTGGGCAGCACCAGGCCAAGGCAGGTGTGAACCACTGGTGGCCGGGCAGGAGTCGATCATCCCGCCAATCCGATGGCCACACCTCTGCCAGGTTCCCACACCCTGAGGGAGCTGGGTGGGGACCCGATGCCCTGCCAATCCAATCGCAGGGTGACCAGCTGCACCAGTGGGAGCGGGGCCGCTGCCCTGCTCCACTCCCTCAGCACTTGGGAGCCAGGCAGTGGTGGGGAAATCTGCGGGGCAGTCAGCCCCTGCAGGCAGCAACCAGCAGCAGCAGTGGTGGCCGGGCTGCCAACCTGCTCCCTCAGCATCTGGGAGTAGGGCAGCAGCAGTGGGGGAGGGGGTGGCAGCGTGATTGGGCCCCGCAGGTGGTGACCAGTGGCAGTGGTGGAGGGCAGGTGGCCAGGGAAAGGGAAAGAGTAACCACCACAGCCGGCAGCCTCTAGGGACCCTACCAGTGCACAAATTTTGTCACTGGGCTTGTAGTATATATATAAATATACTTTTATTGATTTCAGAAAGGAAGGGAGTGGGAGAAAGAAATAGAAACATCAATGATGAGAGAGAATCATTGATCGGCTGCCTCCTGCATGCCCCCTACTGGGGATTAAGCCTGCAACCCCAGCATGTGCCCTTGACTGAAATCCAACCTGGGACCCTTCAGTACACAGGCTGATGCTCCATCCACTGAGCCAAACCGACTCTTTGTTTTTTTCTTTAATTCTCACCAGAGGATATGTTTTATTGATATTAGAAGGATAAGAGAGAGAGAGAGAGAGAGAGAGAGAGAGAGAGAGAGAGAGAGAGAGAGAGAGACATTGATGTGTGAGAGAAACATTGATTGGTTACCTCCCATATTCACCCCAACTGGGGATCAAACCCACAATTATGTATGTTCCCCGATCAGAAATCAAACCCACAGCCCTTTTGGTGTATGGGTCAACAGTCCAATCGACTTAGCCCTGGCTGGGGCTCACTTCTATTCTATTCTTTATTGAAGTTTGTTAGTACCTTAATCCTAATAGATTGCCCATACTAGGACATGATATCAGGGGCCTAAACCAAGGGAAGTGTAATGTTAAAGACATGTTGCCTTCTTTACAAGAAAATCATAATGGTTAGTACATCATGAATAAAACTATGCACACACACATATCAGAGGTGATGCTCTATATTCTATGCCTATTTCTTTGAAATTTCAACTTTCCCAATCTCAGGAGAAACTTCAGTGGACGATTATTTCTGTATTTTTCTATTATTTAGCTAATATCGCTCCTAATCTCAGAATGGTTCTTTGGATGATTGATGTCAATTCATAATATTCTGAACCAAAAGGGATATCTTGGAGTAAACATTCTTTTTCCCCAAATGTCAAACTAATGAAAAATAATACAGGTAAGAAAAAATGATGTTCAAGGGAGTGGAAGGAAGGGTTGGAAAAAGTTATGACATGAATACTATATAGTGTTGTTACACATTACCAGTTTTTAAATGCAATAGTTACCATATATTGTATGCCTGTATTATGTATTGGGGACCAAAATATGGAATATGTGGGTAGCCAATGTATAACTTTTTTTTCCAATAGGAATGATACTGGAAGTAAGTTAAAGAAATTCTGGAAAGCTGCATAGTTTGCAATGATTGAGGGCTCCTCCCTGCAGCAATGGCTGTAAAAGCAAACTCCCATCCCTTGCTATTCAGAACTAATCCAGCAGCTTCTTGAAAGTGATGCTTGCATAGCAAGACACAGAGGAACTTCTTTAAGGACAAAAAATTTCTTAAAGTGAGTTTGAACTACAGGAGAGATAGGGCCTTGATTACTTGGACAAAGGCAACACATGCTTATATTTTTTGAGTACTTTTATGTGTGTTAACTCATTTTGTCCTCTTAATCGTCCTAGGAGAATGTATCATTATTTCCTTATTATATAAGCTAGAGGCCCGGTGCACAAAAATTTGTGCACTCGGGGGGGGGCGGGGAGGGTCCCTCAGCCCGGCCTGTGCCCTCTCGCAGTCTGGGACCCCTCGGGAGATAACGACCTGCTGGCTTAGGCCTGCTCCCGGGTGGCAGAGGGCAGGCCTAATCCCTAGGTGCAGCCCCTGGTCGGGCTCAGAGCAGGGCCGATTGGGGAATTGGGGTGCCGCCCTCTGTCATGCACAGAGCAGGGCGGATTGGGAGGTTGCGATGCCACCCTCAGTCACGCTCAGGGTAGGGCCAATTGGGGGGTTGGGGCACCGCCCCCTGTCACACTCAAGGCAGGGTCGATGGGGAGGTTGCGGTGCCACCCCCTGTCACGGGCAGAGCAGGGCCAATCAGGGGGTTGGGGAGCTCCCCCCTGTCTCCCACAGACCAGGGCTGATCAGGGGGTTGGGGAGCTCCCCCCTGTCACGCACAGAGCAGCGCCCATCAGGGGGTTGGGGCGCTGCCCTCTATCACCCACAGAGCAGGGCCAATAAGGGAGTTGGGGCGCCGCCACTGTCACACTCAGGGCAGGGTCGATGGGGAGGTTATGGCTCTACCCCATCACACACAGAGCAGGGCCCGTGGGGTGAGGGGGTTGGGGCGCCGCACCCTGTCACACACAGAGCTGCAGGGCGATCAGGGGGTTGGGGAGCTCCCCCCTATCAGGCACAATGCAGGGCCGATCAGGGGTTTGGGGCGCCTTCCCCCGTCACACACAGAGCAGGGTGGATAGGGAGGTTGTGGCCCCGCCCCCTGTCACACACAGAGCCACTGGGGAATCAGGGGGTTTGGGCGCTGCCCCCTGTCATGCTGATCCTGGTGCCGGGAGACCTCGAGGCTCCGCTGGTCCCGTTGCTGTGAGGCATATTACCCTTGTACTATATAGAATAGAGGCCTGGTGCACGGGTGGGGGCTGGCTGGTTTGCCCTGAAGGGTGTCCCGGATCAGGGTGGGGTTCCCCACTGGGGTGCCTGGCCAGCCTGGATGAGGGGATGATGGCTGTTTGCAGCTGGTCATACACCCTTCAGGGTGGGGGTCCCCACTGGGGTGCCTGGCCAGTCTGGGTGAGGGGCTGAGGGCTGTTTTCAGGCTGGGACTGAAGCTCCCAACTGCTCCTTTTTTTCTTTTTTTTTTTTTTATTCTGAGCCAGCTTTAGCTCTGAGGCTCCAGCTCTTAGGCCTCCACTCCTGAAAGCAGGTATCTGGTTTGTTTAGGTTCTACAATCGAAACTCTGTATCAACTCCAGGTCTGAGATCCCGGCAGGATGAAAGCCGGGTTAGCTTCTATTTTTGTAATTACGTTTCAAACTGCCAGCTCAGAGGCCTTCAGTGGCAGGCGGGGAACGTTGGAGTCCTCCGTCACTGAAGCAAGCAAGCCTCATGTTAGTTTCAAGCTGCCTGGCTGCCGGCTGCCATCTTGGCTGGCAGTTAATTTGCATATTGCCCTGATTAGCCAATGGGAAGCGTAGTGGTTGTACGCCAATTACCATGTTTCTCTTTTATTAGATAGGATGAAGAATCGGATCCTTAGATATATAACATAACATGCTCATAGTCACACAGTTGTTAATTGTCAGAGCTGACATTGGCACTCAGGTAGTCCAATTCTAGGACCTATATTTAAAAAAAATATAATGCAAAGGCAGAGGTGAGGCAGGGGGGCACCAAAAACACCCTCCCCCCCATTAAACAGAAGGGCAAGGATCAATCAGCTCATTCACTAACCAGAGTTCCATTTGAAATAGGGAAAAAAAGTCAATAGATACTGCTTCAATATTTAGTCTCTCATTTTCCCCAAAGATTATCAGCTCCATTAAATAAGGACTTATATTTGGTTTACATTAATCTCTAGTACCAGGAAAGAAAGAAAGACTCAATACACATATATCTCATAAATGAGTGAAATGGATGAAAGAGAGACACTTGTATAAAACCCTGATTTTTTTCCTTTGCCTTCTATTCCAGTACTTTTGTGTATAACATTCCCCTATTTTGTCATAAGTACGTGTTGTCTCAAGAACAATTATGATTACAAGCACGAGTGCCAAAAGAAGTAAATGTTCATCTTATGAGTTTCAAATGAGGCCCTTAAAACCCCAAACTGAAATGAGAGTCTTGAGAGAAAAGTATTTTTTGAGGCTTAAGAAAAATGAAGCCCTAGAATAATTGATTTTCCTGTAACATTGAGAGGCTGTAAAAGTCCTGTCAAGGTTGAGTCCTGGGGAAATACTTCAAAAGTAGAATATGAGAAAAAGAAGAAAGCAAGAATGTAAAAAGAAGTTAAGATATACAGAAGATAGTCTGAGGAGTTTTATTACATGTGCAATCAGAACCCTAATCTGAAAGAATAAAGGGAAGGAATGTTAAGGAAGGAAGGAAGGAAGGAAGGAAGGAAGGAAGGAAGGAAGGAAGGAAGGAAGGAAGGAAGGAAGGAGAGAGGGAGGAGGGAAGAAGGAAGGAGAATGAGAGAGAGAAAAGAAAAGAAAAGAAAAAGAAATATAGAAAAGAGGGAGGGAAAGAGAGAGAGAAAGAAGAAAGCAAGAGAAAGAAGGAAGGAAGGAAGGAAGGAAGGAAAGAAGGAAGGGAGGAAAGAAGACAGGCAATATTCAGTCTGGATGGCTGAGATGTTTCCTGGATGCAGCAGAAACACCAATACTTATATTCAAGAACCCCATAAAATCCCATGTATGAAAAACAAAATAAAAGAATATCTCCACTAGACACATAATAGAGTAACTGAAGAACATCAAACACAAGTAGGAAAATCCTATAAGCATCAAATGTGAAAATATCAGTTACCTCTAGGAGAAAACTGTTGATAACTGATATCTCCACAGCAACATTAGAATCCAGAAAATAAATGGAGTAATATATTCAATATGTTAAAATGATTCTCAAGTTAGAATTCTAAATTCAACAAACTAATTTTCAACAGGAGGGACAAAATTGCATTTTTCTCTACCAAGAGACGTATAGAACATCTTTCAGGTACAGTAAAATTTGTATCATAAGTAGCTATCAGAAGTCAATAAAATGGTATGTAGATCAATCTACCAGAAAGAATAGTACAAAATAACCATGATTTTCTGTCCTCATGTCAATTTGAAGCTCCAAAATGATTTTGGTTTTTATCACAGGTGTATTAATTTCTTATTGCTGCTGTTAGAAATTACCACTGACTTAATGGGTTAAAATAATACAAATGTATTATATTACAGTTCTATTGGTCTCAAGATAATATTACAATGTGGGTAGGACTGTGTAGCTACTAGAAACTCTAGGGCAGCTCTAGGGAATAATTACTTTCCTTACTTCTTTAGTTAGAAGTCACCCTCCAGAGGTCTAGGAGTCACCTATCATCCTTGGCTTAGAGCCACAATCCTCCATCTTCAAAATCAGCAAGATTGGGAGCCATCCCTTTCATTCTCCCTCTTTTGTCTGCTTCTTCAGTTATAACAACTCTTGTGACTACATTGGGCCCAACTGGATAATCTGGCTTCCCATTCCAGGTCAGTTAATTAGCAACCTTACTTCTATCTGTAACCTGAATTCCTTTTTGCCATTGACATATCATATGCCTAGGTTCCTGGTTCCTAGGTTAACATCCGTATAGGATGTTGTATAGGGGGGCATTATTCTGCTACTACAGTAGACTTCTAATTCTCTTTACCAGTTTTTAACATATATAAAACATGCCCATTCATGTACATTTTTTATAAGGTAAATTGCTTATAAACTTAAATTTTAAAATTACAAAGACATTACTGACAAAATAACCAAGAAATAGGAAAGCAGACAGATTGTTTTGAAGTTTCTTTTTTTATATATATATTTTTGATATTTATTTTATATATTTAAATGCCATTTTTTGATGATGAAAAATACATTTATTTTTTAATGTATACATGTGCACTGGTAGTCCGACAGAAAACTTTATTTTATTTTTTATTGTTTTATTGTTTAAAGTATTACAAAGGGTATTACATATGTGTCCTTTTTTTTTCCCCCGCCCTTGACAATCCCCTGGCCTCCTTTACCCCCCAGTGTCTTATGTCCATTGGTTATGCTTATATGCATGCATACAAGTCCTTCGGTTGATCTCTTACCCCCCTGCCCCCCTGCCCCCCATCCCTCCCTGGCCTTCCCGCTGCAGTTTGACAATCAGTTTGAGGCAGCTCTGCCTCTTTATCTATTATTGTTCATAAGTTTATAATGGTCTTTATTATTCATGAATGAGTGAGATCATGTGGTATTTTTCCTTCATTGACTGGCTTATTTCACTTAGCATAATGCTCTCCAGTTCCATCCATGCCGTTGCAAATGGTAAGAGTTCCTTCTTTTTTACAGCAGCATAGTATTCCATCGTGTAGATGTACCACAGTTTTCTAATCCATTCATCTACTGATGGGCACTTAGGCTGTTTTCAGATCTTAGCTATGGTGAATTGTGCTGCTATGAATATATGGATAGACACCTTTCAAAAGAGGACATTCAGAAAGCCAAGAGACATATGAAAACATGCTCAAAGTCACTAATCATCCGAGAGATGCAAATCAAAACAACAATGAGGTACCATCTCACACCTGTCAGAATGGCTATCATCAACAAATCAACAAACGACAAGTGCTGGAGAGGATGTGAAGAAAAAGGAACACTCGTGCACTGCTGGTGGGAATGCAGACTGGTGCAGCCACTATGGAAGACAGTATGGAGTTTCCTCAAAAAACTGAAAATGGAACTCCCATTTGACCCTGTGATCCCACTTCTAGGAATATATCCCAGGAAACCAGAAACACCAATCAGAAAGGATATGAAGTTTCTTATAAAGGTAAAAATGCATTTACTCTATGGCCTGGCAATTCCATCCCTAGGTACTTCCCCAAGAGAAATGAAAACATATGTTCACAGAAAGATTTGTACATGAATGTTCATAGCAGCCTTATTTATAATAGCCAAAAGCCAGAAACAACCCAAATTTTCATAAACAGAAATATAGACAAACAAATTGTGGTATATTCAGGAAAAGGAACAAATTACTCATGTACTCAATAACATGGATGAACCACAAAATCATGTGAAATGAAAGAAGCTACATAAATAGGAACAAAGTGATTCATACTATATGATTCATTTACATTAAGTCCTAGAAAAGGCATAATAGTACATGATAGAAGTTAAAATGTGTTGGCCCTAGGGGAATGTGGAAAAGTGACTTGAAGTGTCAAGAGGGAACTTTTTGGAGCATTTAGGTGGTGGTCACCCATTATATACAATTGCCCAAATTCATTGAACTGTGCATTTCAAGTAATTGATCAAAGTTCCTTAACAACTATAGCATCTATTCAAACTCCATCTGTTTTGTACTGGTGGTATTAGTTTATTTGCTCTTAAATTTACTCTCAGACATTTTCACTGTGGTTAAAATTACTTTTAGTGCGTCAATAAAAAAAAAAAACAACAAAAAAACCCCCTCCATTTATTTATTTATTTATTTATTTATTTTCCCATTTATTTATTTTTGTAATTAAATTTATTGGGGTGACATTGGTCAACGTGATCATGTAGGTTTCAGGTGTGGGTTTCTATGTGACAAGATCTGTATACAACAGGGTTTCAGTTTTATATCCTACATATGAATGAAATCATATGGTTCTTAGCTTTTCCTGACTAACTTACTTCACTTAGCATAATGCTCTCAAGATCCATCCATGTTGTTGCAAATGGCAGTATTTCATTCTTTCTTATGGCTGAGTAGCATTCCATTGTGTATGTGTACCACATCTTCTTTGTCCAGTCCTCTATCACATAACACTTTGGTTGTTTCCATGTCTTGGCCATTGTGTATAATGCTGCAATGACCATAGGGGTGCACATATCTTTGTGAATACATGATTTTGAGTTTTTTTGGGTATATACCCAAGAGAAGGATTGCTGGGTCATATGGTAGCTCTATTTTTAATTTTTTGAGGAATGGCGAGACTGCTTTCCATAGTGGTTATGCCAGTCTACATTCCCACCAGCCGTGAATGAGGGTTCCCTTTTTTCCACAACCTCCCCAACACTTGTTGTTGCTTGTCTTATTGACAGTGGCCACTCTAATAGGTGTGAAGTGATATCTCATTGTAGTTTTAATTTGCATTTCCCTGATTGCTAGTGAGGTTGAACATTTTTTCATATATCTATTGGCTGCTCGTGGGTCTTCTTTGGGAGAGGTGTATTTGCAGGTCCTCTGCCCACTTTTTGATTGGGTTGTTTGGTGGTGTTTTATGAGTTCTTTATATTTTTGGAAATTAAACCTTTGTTGGAGCTACGGTTTGTAAATATCATCTATCTGGTTGGCTGCTCTTCTTTTATTGACATCTCTTTTGCTGTGCAGAAGCTTCTTAGGTTGATGCAGTCCCATTTATTTATTTCTGCCTTTACTTCCCTTGCCTTTGGGGTTAAGTTCATAAAATGTTCTCTATGACCCAGGTCCATAAATTTGGTATCTATATCTCCTTCTATGTAACTCAGGTTTCTGGTTGTATATTTAGGTATTTGATCCATTTTGAATTAATTTTTGTACATGGAGACAAACTGTAATCCAGTTTCATACATTTGCATGTGGCTTTCCAGTTTTCCCAGGACCATTTATTGAAGAGACTATTTTTACTCCATTCATTTATTTTTGAATCTAAACAAAGTAGCCAAACACATATATTGTCCAAATTTGAATATGTTCCCATAAGCATAACTGTTTTCAGGGTACAAATGCCCTTGACACTTACTGGGCTGATGCTTTCTGTATTTTTTTCCTAATTTATAAACCACTGTGATTGGATTCAATGGCACAGAGAGGAGTGCATTATTGCAGGCTCATTGCCTTTAGAAAGATGTGTAGCCCTTTTTCATTAATTATAATGAAATATATCAAATAGTAATAGCCCAATTCATGATGATTTCTGTTCTTGTAATTAACATCATCAAACAAATATATTCTAGAACAATGAAAATTTCCTATTAGAATTTCTTAAATCTTACATTCAATTTTCCCTTATAAAATTTTAAATTCAATTAATTTTTATTTACTGAAAGTATATCTTTAAGAAGCTCACATTTATTAGATCTGAAGTACAAAATTCAATTATATAAGGTAGGACAGGTTAAACTCATTTGTCATACTTCAAATTATAAGTAACTTCCAGATAGTTTATTGTCATACACTTAAAGTTAATGTGCCAAAATCCTTTGTATCAGTAACTTTTAATAAACTAAATGCTTTAAACTTCACATCTTCTTTTTTTTTTTTTTTTTTTTTTGTCCTATGAAATAATTTATTCAATACATGGTACAAATGATGATATAATCACTTCAGTGTCATGAATTGCTGCAAAGGGTAAAGAAGGAGACATCAATTTTTCATAGAAATGTAGAAAAATGATCGTGGCTTTGTTTTCTTGACTCCTACAGAGTTGTACCTACTAACCAGTGCTGCTCTGCTCCACCAAAAAATACAATTTGGCTTAGATCAATGGCCACAAAGCTTTCTATTGAGCAACATAGTTTTTTTTCAGTTCCAGCAAGAGATCTCAGACAATGCAATTAATTATGCTTCAGTTTTTCTGTCTTTAAAATGGACTTCATTAGAGCAGTTCTTTTTACATCAGCAGGCACTTTGGGGAAACAAACTCCTACACTATTTGTGTAGGGTGGGGCAAAAGTAAGTTTATAGTTGTGAGTATGTAAAACACAGTTTATTCTTGTATTTTTATTCATTAAGTATTATATTATTTTCCATACAGATATACATGATTCTAAATTTTGAGCCAAGATATATGCCCCTCTTATTTCTTTAGGTAGGCTTTTTAAGCACTTGAATCAAGCATAGTGTTAAGCTTTTGTAGCATATGTTCATTCACTGGAACCTCATCCCTACTTTTATGAGATGGAAGTTATTGTCACCTCTTTACGGATAAGCAAAATAAGGAACATAGGCCTAGGAATGATGCTCTTCACTGGTCATGAGGCCAAATGTGGTAGTCTTTTAGAGCTATTGACTGAGTTATAGTGAGTAAAGTTGGGTGAATCATTATCCCTAAATGTCTCACCACCTATTTTTTTTTTTTCTGTTCATCAGATTATTTATTCACTTGATTCTTAGATTCACTTGTTGATAGATGCATATTTGTTGTTCATAATTTGTATCTTTACCTTTTTCTTCCTCTTCCTCTTCTTAAAGGATACCTTTCAGCATTTCATATAATCCTGGTTTGGTGGTGATGAACTCCTTTAGCTTTTCCTTATCTGTGAAGCTCTTTATCTGACCTTCAATTCTGAATGATAGCTTTGCTGGATAAAGTAATCTTGGTTGTAGGTTCTTGGTATTCATCACTTTGAATATTTCTTGCCACTCCCTTCTGGCCTGCAAAGTTTCTGTTGAGAAATCAGCTGACAGTCGTATGGGTATTCCCTTGTAGGTAATTGAGTTTCTTTCTCTTGCTGTTTTTAAGATTCTCT